CTCCCCTGTATGTACACGCACATGCGCAAAAAAAAAAAAAAAAAAAAAAAAAATGCGGACAGGTACTCAGTATGTGCAAGTGTGAGCGCAAGTACAGGTACGCGAATGTTCCCGCAGAGGCATGTCCGCGAGTAACTTGCACAAGGCCCTACAAAATATGCAGAGGGGCATGTCTACAGGGGTCATTTGGGATGGAACAGCTTTTTTCTCTTGTCCACTTCTCTGCAACAGTTGAAAAGAACAAAGTCGGCAAAAAAGGTTAGGAAAAAAAAAAAAAAATTCCTAACATTTTACCTTGCATGATCAGGTAAATTATGTATGCAACAAAAGGTTAAGAAAAAAAAAAAAAAAAAAAAAAGAATTCCCATTTGTGCTCAAAACTGCACAATGATAAGGGTGGGCAAACAGTGTAGTTAGAGCAGTTTTATGTGTGGGCATACGTGTAGGGGCAGAGTGTTGGACATTCTGCATTTTCTTCTACTTCCTCTATGTCTCTTATTTTTGTATTTTTTTTTTTTTTAACTCGAAAGGGCAATCTGTCCGCGGCGCACTCTGCGCGAGTGGCCCTTTTCGAAGCTGGTAAGCAGCCAAGGTAAGCTTTACGGTGTGTAAAAAAAAAAAAAAAAAAACCTATGCGTCGATCACAGTCCGAACAACCTATGGCACACATTTGAGCGGCAACCAATTATGGGTGGTACAAACGCGATTAAGCATTATTGTAGTTTAGAAAAAATAAAGGAATATTCCCGTGCTTTTCAGTGAGAACGGATCTCCCTAACGTTGTAAAGAAGCAATTGTGAAGAGATGCCGTCTTACACCACAAATTGCGTATGTGAAAATGCTTTCCACTCTCATGGGGGAATTAATGGGCTGCGAATGGTGCCTGGCCATCACGAGCAGAAGAGTGTTCCCGCTGTCCGCATCTCCACCGTTATACACGCCTGACTCAGGGCAAAGTTCATACGAATGTTTATTTCTCTGGGACAACATGTAAAGTCATCGTTTAGAACCCCTGTCACGATATGTCCCTTACACACGACAGTTCACCTCTTCGACGATGACTCGAAAAAAAAAAAAAAAAGTTCTTTCTTTTTACCTGACCTGTTCAGAATTATTCTGCAACGGGGGGGAATATAGCAGCCAAAAAAAAAAAAAAAAAGCTTACCTGTTCAGGCGTATTGCGTGTATGTGTGTAGTTTTGTCAAAATGGTGAAATTGAAGGTGGACAAATTATTCGATGTGTTCCTTCTCTTTGGTGTGGGTTTTTTTCCATCCCTATTCCTTCCCCCTCACCGAATGGACATATATCTCTTTTTGCTGTGTTGCAGTCTACACGAACATTTAGCGTTAAACATAGTGTGGAGGACGAGGGGCATAGTAAAACCTTCCCGCACAGTTCAAATCGAACGATTGGCATTTTCACTTGAACGTTGCACACACAACAAGTGTGATACTCGCAATGGCACGTTTGTGAACTTCGTAAGAACTTTTTTTTTTCACCCCGTTTTGTGGCGATGTTGGTTGATATTCCTGCCGAAGGGGAAGCTCACCTGTATGTACACCTGTCGTGGGTGGGAGGAGCAACACATGGGGGGGAAAAATTGGGGAACCCCCCCTCCCCTCTCATGAACCAATTTTTACAGCTCTTCCAAACCGTTCGTTAATTTTTTGGGTTGTCTTTTCTCCCTTCTTCAATTGTCATTGTATTCACTGAGTGTGAAGTTTGTCTTAATTTTTTTTTTTTGTCTTCTATTAATCTATAGTAAAACCTTAAAAGTGTTTTTTTTTTTTTTGTTGTCACAATTGCTATAACTTGTTTGTGTCCCCCATCTTGTGTATGTTCCTTGTTCATATTTTTTTCTCCGAACGTGTGTGTGTGGTGCGCAGTTCTTCAGAAGAGATCGTTAGAGACGATGTTGAGCGGGGAGTGCTCACCCAATGTCACAAACCTGGAGAGGAGAAGCGACGAGGACAGGTCTGGCGAGTCCTGTCACAAGAGCAACATGGTGAAGAAGGATTTCAACAGCAGGATGGACGCCCTCATAGAGTTCACCGATAGCTCTCGTAATAGGAGTAAGCAATGGCTGTGGAGGGGGAAAAAAAAAAAAAAAAAAAAAAAAAACAGTGTACACGGGGATAAGTATCCTGTCCAATGTGTACAGAATACCATTTGTGGGATGCTACACCTATTTCATCTCGAAGGACAACCGCTGAACAAACCCATTTTCTTCTTACCGCTCCGCTATTTACGAGGCAGTCTCTCTGATGGAATCCCAAAACAAGACAAAGAAGAGAGAGCTAGAGGACGAGTACCTGTTTTTAAAAAAAATAGGAGACGTGTGCAAGCTCAGTTGCGATTATTACTTGGAGACAAATGTGAGTTTTCACGAGGCGTGTGAGAATTTCAACATTTTGTTCAGGGCATTTGAGGAGTCCCTTCTTAACGTAAAGAACAAAGGAGATGAGGCAGACGTGGTTGCAGAGAAGCTGAGCAAGGTAGCAGACAAGGTCAACCTTCAAATGAAAGAAAGCAAAGAGGCGTACGAAACATCGAAGAAGGAACTAGTCCTTCTCCAAACAGATGTCCATTACATGAGGAACGAATCTGAAAATATTATGAACAAAATAAAAGAAGTGGATTACCAAATTAACCAGCACAAGGAGGCCTTCGAGTCGTTTCACATTTTGACCCACCTGAACACTGAGCGGATGTCGGTGCTACAGAATGACTTCACGAAGATGGAGGAGGAGCGGGGGGAAGTGTTGAGGGGAATTGAGGAGGCTGCGTCTGGCGCGGTGGCCGCACGGGATGGTCTGGTCGTGCAGAAGGGGCAACTGGTAGGGATTCGCATGAGCGAGGGGAGAAAGGAGTACTTGGCTGTCACACGTGTGTGGCTGCTAATCGACAACGCTGTTAACCCCTCCCCCCCCTTTTATCGCAGGAGGAAGAGAGGGAGGCCTTGCTCGGGAAGGAACGCGAATTGACCCACAAGAAGGAGAAGCTAGCCATACGGAAGAGCGAAGCCATGTCGGACAATGATCGGCTCAAGTCTCAGATGCAGTTCATGCAAAATCAGCTGTCATCGCAGGAGCATTTCCTGAGTGTCATCAAGTGTGGCCTGGACGGAAGCATTCAGACGAGGAAAGAATTGAGTTCCGTTTTAGGTGGCATCAACAAGGAGATAGAGGAGGTGGAAGACCTCATGGAGGTTTGCAGGAAGGAAGAGGTGGAGGAGAGGAAGAAGTGTCATGAGATGGAAGAAAAGGTTAAGAAGCTAGCCACGGAGTTGGAAGGGCGCGAAAGGAAGTTAGAGGCACTTGCGCAGGAGGAAAAGACGATGAGAGGGAAGGTTGAAGGGGAACGAAGTAACGTTAACCAGAACCTGCTGAACGAGTTGGTTAAGGAGAAGAAGCTAATAGATGGTGAGATTGGGAGCTACCAGGAGGAGGCAGGCAAGTTGGTTCTACGCGAGGGGGGTAAGCTGGAGGGGTTGTTAGGTGGAGGTGCAGCTGTTGTGCTGGGTGATCTGCTGAGTGGCGTACCCTCTAGTGTGCCCCATGCAACGAACGAGGTGAACACAGCCGACCCTGACAAATCCATCCCGCGGGAGCACCCCCTTGACGCACAGTCCCCCGCGAGTGAAGCGTTCTTAAGAGGGTTGCAGGAGGCTATAGACACTGTGAAGGAAAGAATAAACGAAGAGCAAAACGAGGTTTGGAGGAAGGAAAGAGAAGTGCAAAGGATAAATGCCCTGACTAATGAGCTGCGCAGCAAAGTACAGGATGAAGAGGGTAGAGGGACCAAGTTAGACCTGTTGATGAAGGAAAAAAGGGAGCAGATCACCATGCTTAGGGAAAAGGAAAGGGAGGTGGAGAAGCAACTCTCTCGCATGCAGGACGTGACCAAAGAAGAGAAACTCAATTATGAAGAGAAACAAAAGGAAGCGAAGAGAATGGAGGAGAAGCTGTTACACAATAATGAAATTGAAAAAGAAGAATTGTCCTTACTTGAGCAGGAGTACCACGAGAGGAAGGACAAGCTGTTGTCTTCATCGGGGGATGGACTTATAATGGTGAGTTCTGAGGATAAGAGAAAAATGAAGGAAGATGTGAATGCGTACTTGGTAAAGACAAAGATGGAGTTTGATTTGAAGAAGAGGCAGTTCGAAAAGAGCGAGAGGGAGAAGTATGAAGAGGTCGGGAGTCAGTTGGATGGAGAGCTTAAGCGGAAGAACGAGTTAATTGCTTATTATGAGGAGTTGATTGGCAGGAAGGAGAAGATGGGTGTGAGGCCGGGAGAGAGCAGTGCGGCTCCGCAGGAGAGGATGGCGGGGATGGGGAATACGAAGCGGGCAGACAGTCGGGCGGACGGTAGGGCGGACAGCCGAGCGCACCGATCGGGCCCTTCCACGGAGAGAAGGAAGTCCGCCCAGCGGGGCGGCACTGTCCACAGGAGTAGCAGCGGTGTTGACGCGTCGGCTAGCACGTCTGCTAACATGATCAGTAGCACGTCCCGTAACAGCGACACCAACAGGAGCACCACCGGTGCGAACGTCCGCAAGGTGGTGAACAACGCGCCGGACACGTACAAGTTCAGTTACTTCGATGTGACCTCTCCAGGGGAGATGAGGAAAAATATGAATTTGCAGAGCCGGTCCGTGAAGTCACCTCACATCGCGAGGTTACTTGAAAAGATAAAACTGAGGAAGGAATGCCAGACGCTCGTGGGCACTAAAAAGGTGCCGTTGACTCAGGTGAGCAGTAGCGACGGCAGACGGAGCAGGACCATTGGGGGCAGCTCTGGTAAGAGGGCAAGTACGGGTAAAAGTGGCAAGGGTGCAGGTCACAAGAAATCCTTCGTCAACACGAAGGCACCCAAGAGCAACGACTCCTTTGACCTGTTCCACCATCTGTGAGAGGAGGAGTCTACTCATTCAGTTCGTGTTACGTGCGTGAGGCAGACTTGAGACAGGGGGGGGGGGCAACTTTTTTTTTTGTGGGGGGGGGGACCTACGTAGAATTCCCCCTTCCATCCCCCTCTTCGAGCATGCGCGTGAGATAAGCGTAATGATCGAGGTCGGCCTGGGCAACTTGGTCAGAGTGACCGCTGCTTTGTTTGAAGCTTTATGTTGTCTCGCGCTCCTCCACGTTGCTGCCTGCATGTTTCCCGTTGTTGTCTTCCCTTACCCATGCGTATCTGCGCATGCAAGCAGTGACATCACACAATGGTGAACACACAGAGTAGAAACATTTTTGACTGGAATTTTTGTGAACCGTTTTTCGAGCCCTCTCGGGATGGTTATCAACGCGTTATGTTCATGCAGTTGCGTGGTGTTGCGCGGAGGGGGCAAAACGGGACAAGTTGTTAAGGAGGGCTAGGGTTGGCCAGACCGGTCAGGTAAACCCAGTGAGGTGCAAATGTCGTGTGTGCATGTTCGTCTTCTACGTGGGGGGCCTACTCAGAGGGATATCCCTTCAAAGTTGCGTCCTTTTAAAAAAACGCTGCCCTGTGTGCGCGCGAGTCCGCCCTATTATAAAGTGAGGTGCCTTCCTGAAAAAGGTGTAACCCTGGTGCCCTTAATTTTTTTTATGGTGCCTCGTTTTTTTGTAGACCTTCCTTGCGTCTGCGATAGAGGATAATCCCGGTGCAGTGTTCGCATTTTCTACAGCGCTTTGCTTTTCCATTCCTGCGTTGCTCCTTTTTTTTTTTTTATGCACACACGCGGGTTTGCTGTGGATGGAGGGGCCTTTATGAATTTGGCCAAGCGTGTTAACCCCCCAGGAGGGAGTTAAAAAAAAAAAAAAAAAAAAAAAAAAAAAAACAGCCGATGGGGATTTGTCTGATCCACGGGAGAAGGAAGTATTGAGGGGTTAATGCTCAAATGTCCAATGTGTTTTTTTTTTTTTTTTTTTTTTTTCGCCTCGTGCTCAACTCATTTTCCGCGCAGTGGCGCCCAGTTTTTAAGTGAAGCTATGCAGAATTAAATAATTTAAGATGCTTTTTCTTACATTCATCTGTCGTTTTTTTGAAGCTGTTTTTTTTTTTTTTTTTTTTTTCGCCTCGCGGTCTACACGCATTTCCCCTACCGCGTGCAGGAGTTTTCCTCACCCCGATCAGACCAGACGCGCGTGTATCAACTTTGATTTACTTTTTCCCCACCCGGTCGAGTATTCCATGTTGGAGTTAGCAAAGGGGTTTTACAAGAAGAAGAAAAAAAAAACATACATTGTATATCCTACGACATTGCAAAAATGGTAATAAAAAAAAATATATAAATAAGCTCGCGGTGGGAGGAGACGATGTGGACGGGCGGATGGTCCATTCGACTTTGAACATCCCTGTGTGCGAAGTGGCAGTGGAGTGGTTTGTCTAGATGGAAACAGCCACTGAGGGGAGAGAGGCTGCATGTAGAGGCCCACCTCTTTGCTTATGAACAAGTCAGACAATGCGCTGGAGCAATGAGGCGCCTTACTCTGACGAACCTTTTACTTGCACGGGGGGGAAGTATACTACTACTTGGTCCGCCCACCTCACCCCGTCACTCGCTTCCTCTCCTGTACTGCAGAGCGAGGCGGAAGAAATCTTAAACAGGATCAAAAATCACAAGGGGGTGGTGGGGATCCTGGTGGTGAACAGTGAGGGGTTAATAATAAAAAGTACATTCGATCAGCAGCAGTCGGACCTGCACGCGTCCCTTCTGACGCAACTTTCGAATAAGGCCCGGGATGTCATTCGGGAGCTGGATCCCCAGGTGAGGGCGCCGTCAAGCGGTGACGTGGAGAAGTGGTGAAGTGGCGAAGCGGTGAAGAGATCCCAGCGGAGGGCATTATCTGGGCCGCTCAGCTCTGCTAGCCATGTGGGTGTACCCCCTGCACCACTTCACCTCTCATGTTCGTTTCCTTTCCTGTCCTTCCCCCCCAGAACGACATCAACTTCCTGCGCTTGCGGTCGAAGAAGCACGAAATAATGATCGCCCCGGATAAAGATTTCACGTTGGTGGTTGTTCAGGACCCATACGCGGACCGGGACAAGTAGGCACTGCGTCTTGCAGGGGAGAAGCGGCCCAGGAGAAGAACAGCAGAGGGGTCACAGGATATTAAAGCGAATGGGCCAAGTTTGAAGGAAGCAAAATGGATGCGGCTGGAAAAAAAAAAAAAAAAGCAGGGAGGGGGACCTGTCCAATATGGGTAACCTCCCCCCATGGGTTATACTTTTGTTACTTTTCCCCTCCCCACACAGTTGTTTCCTGCTCGCCGCGTTTCCGCTCAATCATTGTGACATGCCTTTTCATTTGCATACAATTGTGAAGAGGTGTTTTTTTTTTTTTTTTTTTTTTTTTTTT